TTCATACAATTGTGAAATGAAATGGAAGTCGTGATCTATCACAGTAGCAAAATTCTCAGTCCGAATTATGTCTTTTATAGACATATCTATATAAATAGATACAGACGAAACATATTTAATTGATTTTTTTTTTAATTGAATGTGACATTTTAACAGGAGCAGATGAAAATGTTTTAAATCCTCTTTAAATATTTATTATAAAGCGTCATAGATTAATTTGTACACACTATTCATTAAAAATAATAAGGTTCGTGGATGTTGACTCTAACAAGTGGTAAACACACCTAAATAGTGTATATTCCAACAGATTGACATACAAAGGATATTAATATAAACATTAAATGAATACATATGACTATTTAAATAGTTTGAAGTTAGATAAAACGACATTAAGATGTAGTGCATAGTGGACTAAATTGAAAATGTCTGAATTGGTTGTCTGTCTCTAAGTGTAGCCCTGTGATAGACTGGTGACCTGTCCAGGGTGTCCCCTGCCTTCACCCTCAGTCAGCTGGGATAGACTCCAGCCCCCCGCGACCCTAGTGAGGATCAAGCATTGTATAGATAATGGATGGATGGATTAATTGCACACATAAACAGGGCTTAACAAATTTGCTAGACCACCAATCGGTGTGAGGTCTATGCCACAGCTGCCCTAAAATAACAGCATTGGTGATTACAAAATAATTTTTTCATGTTTCTGTAATGATTAATGCACCAGTATGTAGAGCTCTTTAAACAAAATGCTATTTTTAATGCTAAAATATAATTGTTATTGTTATCCATGAATTTTCAAATGTACCGTTTTCCATTTTAAAAAATGATATAGTGAAGTACATTATTATTTCCTGATCAAGATGTCACTTTATAGTTATTTGCTTGCATTCCTGAACAGAAAAATTAATTTTAGTGGTTGAATGTTGCTTAATTTCTGACTTCTCAGAAGCCCAGTGAGCCGGCTCAGAATTATGAATAAAAAGGTGAATTCAGTTTGAAATTTCTCTTTCTGGTTCAAAATGGCAAAATGTTGAGAGCTAAGTGCACATTAAAGCAGTGCACAGTGCTTTACAAGTTAGACAGGTGGTCTAATAACTGCACATCATGTTCTTTCTTTCTAGTAACATATGTATGTTATGGAGAATATACAAGAAGCTATACCAAAAATATTTACAAATTCAAACAGTCTCAGGTTGCAAGACATGCTTTATTTCATCTTTTTGTTTTAATCCCAGTAGTTTCATTGTGTGAAGAATAATATTCACTTCAGTTCCATTGTATCAACTGTGCATCAGCTGCATAGATGAAAGTATGAACTGCTCACTGTTATCTCTAAGCTGCAGTGTTCAGGGTTTGACATCCTGTGCGCAGCATTCGAAAAAGAAGCTCGAGCAGTAGTGTTGAGCTTTTACCATATGGGGGTGCTTGTGCACCACAGATTTCAAACAGAACATACTACACATTAAGATGTTGTAGTTGCATTTAGTTGTTGTTAATGTGTATGCTCTTCTGTCCTGATATTCTGTTATTCCATCCATGCTTCACAAAAGCTAAACTGGATACCATCAAAACATGGATTTGTCCAGGAATGGGTTTCATCTGTCTTTCACAGTCTCCCAAAGCGATCGTACAACACAACTTATAATCAGATCGTTCACTTTCATGTTATAGCAGCTGCCTCAAGGACATTCTGCAGCTTTGGAGGATGTAACAGACAAACAGTGAGGCAGCAGGAGAGAGAAGGCCACTAACGGATGGCCTTGTGAGTGAACTGGAGCAGGCCTGTGGTTGCTAATCTATCCCCGTCATTTGCTGCCATTTCCCCAGAGCCGAGCTGACAGCTGCAGCAGATAAACAGCAGATAGAGACAGTTGAGGAAAAGAGTGTAAATTATGGCTGTGCTTGCCAAATCATCTTAATTTTTTTTTTTTCTTCCACATTTCACCTTTTTTTATTGTTTTATTTGGCACTAATCTTGTGCTTGTTTACTCCTATAAAGGTGAATGTTTTTCTGCTGTACTGTGGTTTAGGGTAAACTCTTAAGTAGATGGATTCAAATAGAAACCTCATCATCTCTCTCTGTAACTTCACAATACAATTCATTCCCATCACCGAGGTCCTCGGGGAATCAATTGGTTACACGTTGTAACGGTTGACTGCTAATGCACTAAGAAGTAAAACTATCTTATTGGGGTTTTTTTTGATAATCAGGTAGTTGATAAGTAGCAGGCAACAAATCTAAAAAATCTAAATTTCTGTCTCGGAGTTGGTTTATCACCAAAACACTCAGTGGCGCATATCATGCAGTGTCATGAGTGGGTGGCAAGCCCAGATGTTTACAGGGCCGTGCTCACCAACATGAAACCAAAAGCATGAAGAAAGTCTTATTTCTCCTTCACGCCTGCAGCCAAGTGTGCACAAATCAGCTACGAAAGCGCACACAGGGGCGATGTGTGAAAGTTAATTTATAGATTTGTCTCACGGGAGGTTTTCTGTGTGTGAACTCTGCCAGATTATGAAACGTGACAGGATTCACTTGACCCCAATGTGACACATTGGTTTTGAAACCGAACCGTTTTTAGCAAACAAAAAAGAAAAAAAAAAAGGGGGCACACTGGCACACAACAGGCTTTTTGTAGATGATGCCAGTGATATATACGTATTTGTTACCTAAGTCGCAGGCTGTGGCCTTCGCTGACTAACTGACAGGGAGTGTGAGAGTTGGCGGTGCCAGCAGCAGGTGGATGGTTTGGGGTCTGTGGCCTCAGTGATAACTTATCAGTGATCCACCAGTCCTGAGTGAGCAACCCCAGCCCTGCTGCTCAGCATAAAAAAAAAAAAAAATACTACACATACATGCTGCTGCTTACTGCACGGCATCTTGAATAAACTGTTGCATTTGGAGGATGCCGAATTTCAATGTGCTTCTTTGCATTTATGGATTCTTTTCCTTGTCTTTTGCGTCACATTTCACTTTCATTTCAGAAACTTGGCCTACATAGTCTAATCTAATCTACTAAAACACGACCACAAGTGTGATCAATATGAAACAGCCTTCTCTGGTTTATTGAGCAGGATTCCTCCATAAAAAACAATCACAGTAACCCAACATGTCTGAAAATTTTATATCTGTCCTACACAGTACTGCCTACATCTATATAACATCTC